AGAAGTTCTTTAGGATGCTGCTAATGAAGTTTATGCAGAGAAGGAAAAAGATACAAGTTGTTGGCACATAGTAAGCTAGATAATGCAATTGTATATAAATGAGTTTATTTTTTTATAACATTTACTCACTATTGGAATAATTATTTGTATTTGACATATTAGTGAAATGAATTATCTTTGTTATTTATGGTATTTTATTTATTATTATGAGATTTCTAATGTATTATTTAATATGAAAAATTAGTAAATCAAAAATAATATATTTTTTTTAAACATTTAAAATTATGATACGCAAAAATGTGTGTCATCTTTATTTATGACATGGCCTTTCTTGACAAGGGCTTCCTTGATACGCATTGTGTGTCATAAACACGCGCGTCGTAAGGTTACGACACGCAAATGCGTGTCGTCTTCCTTTATGACAGGGGCTTTCTTGATACGCATTGCGTGTCATAACCGCGCGTCGTAAATGCGCGTCATAAATGCGCGTCGTCTCTCTTTATGACAGGACCTTCCTTGACACGCATTTGCACGTCGTCTGAGCGTTTTACGACGCGCAATGAGCGTCGTAAAAGGCCTTTTTTCTAGTAGTGTGGCTTGTAGATTGTCTAAGGTGTTTAGACATAGCAAAAGTTTGCTACAACATTCATGAGTGCTCCTGAAATATGATTTGAGTATTGGATTAAACCCATGCTCACATGAATAATTTCGTTGAATTTATCACAAGTGATTGTGAGACGATAATATCGTATAATCTTCAAACCAAGATGTATGAGTTGTTTATTATGAGATGGTTGTGCATTGATAGTACGAAAACGCATCAGTAACTTGATGTTATAAAACGTGTTGTTGTGTATAATTTAACAAGTAATTAGTACAAGCATATAAGTCGAAGTTTATCTGTTCCTTTTATCCTAAGAGGATTAAAAGCGATATCTTGGGCCCCTTGATGATTTTGTTTTTACATATGTGTCGGGACCGGTCAGGACTCAATTGATGTGTTTAATTAAGTTCTATGTCAAACTAATTAGAAACCGGGAAACAAACTGTTGGAAAATGAGTATGACCTTATTCCATGTCTTTATCCACATGATATCTTGAAGAATAGAGGATTATATGATCCCTTATAAAAAAGACAACGGCTTTTGAGAGCTACGATTTCTAGATGGATTTCAAAGTTACATTGGAAGTTAAAGTTAGTAGAATTATCCAAGTGGGAGACTGTTGGATACGGTGTCTAAGCCCATAACTATAATTGGTATGTACTTGACCCAATAGTAGCATGGTCCTTTTGGGTTGCCTTCTTCGGAGCAATTTGATAGGATGGATAATTGAGAAAGACGTTATTTGTGATTTATTAATATATTATATGAATAAGATATTAATAGACAAATCATATTTTTTAATTAGTATTGATCAAGAATTATTTTAGTGATAAAAAAAGACTGATTAAATTTACAAGGACTGATTAGGTAAATCAGTATTACTTATAGTTTGGGCTAATGATCCATGTTGATTAGGGATGAGTTAAATCTATTTGAGAGTCCATGAAGAGTTAGTCCAAAGGGCCTATCATATAAATCATTGGAATAATTAAAGGTTTAAGTAAATTAGGACTTTATGTAAGAAACCTAAATGATTCTACACTATAAATTGAACCCCTAGCCTTCCCAAAATCAAACTATATCTTCCAAAGTGAAACCCCTCTCTCATAAGCCTCCACTTGATTTTGGTGTTTGTGACTCATTTGAGGTATCACACTTGAGGTACTAAGCTCTTGGAAGATTAAGTTCTGCAAATTGCAACAACGAGATATTCATCTAACTAGTTTTATGTTGCAAATCTCTATATTGTATGCTAGTTAGGGGTCATGCTTTGGAAAAATGAAAATTACATGTATAACTTGAGAAAACATAGATCCAAAGAAGTAGGGTTGTATGTGCACCATATGATTGTTATAGTGCTCAAAACCCATCAGGTAATTCTAATAGAATGCATACGTTAATTGAATCTTGAATTCCAATTCTGTTGGAATGGAATCACGAATTTCAGTTCTGTTGGAATGGAATATGGATATTTTCTCAATGACTTATGCATGTTCTAAAATAAATGGCTATTGGTTTTGGTGCAATTGAAAAGTCCCCATATTTTTCCAAAGAAATTTATGCTTTTATTTTTCATTTGCTAATGAATTATTGGATTCTAAACTACAATTGAATTTGTTTTTTATAGAAGTTGATGCTTGAAGAATGGAGCACAAAGCTGGAAGTGATTCTTAGCAACATTATTCTATTAGAATGTATTAGTGTGTTTGTTAGATTTTGATGTTTTTTTCCTGATTTGAAAGTGTTTTTAGTTTTATTCTTTAACAATAAATATAATTTTTAGTAATTGTTACCCGTATTCTATAAGTATTAATGTGAATTTTGTTTTCATTCTTCAATTGATGGCTCAAGAATTTGGCATTCTATAAGAAGTTTTTAAAGTCATGATCAAGAAATAGGTTCAAGAATATTTTTATTATTTTATGCTTGAAGAATATTTTTATTTTTGAATATACTCATAAACACATTCTGTCAGAACGTTGGAATTAAAAAAATTATAATTCAAAAAATCGGTTTTTAAAAATTAATAGAATCTATTATCCTTTAAAATATGCAATTTTCCTTTATTTAATATATCTTAATTGACTAAAATACATTTGTAATTGAATTAGATGTTATTTTTCAATTATATTTAATTCAGTGATATTTATTAATCATTTTCTTAAAATAACTAAAATGATTGATCCACAATCAATTCTACATCCACACAATAAATAATTAGAATACAATAACCTAAGCATATATATATATATATATATATATATATATATATATATATATATATATATATATAGAAAGAGAGAGAGAGAGAGAGAGTGTGTGTGTGTGTGTGAGCTTATCAAAGAACCAATGCATACAAGTTTTTTTTTTTTTTTTTTTGTAGTTTACAAAGTTGGTCAATATGACTATTATAAATGAAATCAAATGTTATTTGATTATCTCATATTCAAAGGGTTCTTTTGTTCTCTTTCTGAAATTGTTAAAGAAAGGATGTACAACAACTTATCAAACAAATGATCTACACAACGATAAGATAAGTTTCAATAAAGGTGAAACGATCATCAAATTTTGTTTTGCAAAATGCCTCAACTCCGTGCATTTTTATTTAACTTAACCGGTTCGACCGAGTTTTAACAGTTCAAATTAAACACACCAACCGTTTTTTAGCCGTTCGGCTGGTTACGATTCAAACAGACATGAAACCGATATTAGTTGAACCCCTCTGTTCCCTAGTTCACGATTCGAGCGACTGGTTCAAACTGGTTTAAGACTTTGCATTTTATAACATAATGTTTTTTTTTTCTTTTTTATTTTAATTTGCAGAGTTATATACCAATCCATTTGTAATAGTAATATTACAAAAAATGTCTTTGTATAATACCAAGAAAGAAAATTATAAAATATTCCGTATTTAATAGTAAATTTATATAAATGACTATGGTTTATTGTAAAATTACAGAAATAGTCACTGTATCGATAAAATACAAATGTTATATAAATGATTATATATATATATATATATATATATATATATATATATATATATATATATATATATATATATATAATGTCTTAACTTAGGAAAAGTATAGTTCCTAACGTTTTGGCAAGATAGGTCCTCTATATATATATATATATATATATATATATATATATATATGTGTGTGTGTGTGTGTGTGTGTGTGTGTGTGTTAAAAACGTTCATTTTCTGTTTTGGATATTTTTTGTCATTATCTATATTCTTGGTGGACACGTGTTTTGTACCGTTTTCTCATCCAATGATATTTTGATTGTTGTCATTTTTCTTTACCCCCACCGCCTATCTCTCCTCTATCTATCTATTTAGATGGAATATATCCAGTACCTACCATATAAATCCTACGACTTCCAACTGTGACGCCCTTCAGAACCATCACTATTGTCGAATCCAGTCACCAAACCATTCAGTCCACATCGTTTGATTTCCTCCACATGATCTTCTTTTTTGCTCTACTCCTTATCTATTCAATTACGCCTCCACCAAATGACGTTTTTACTACCATCAACAACCTCATTTAGACCTGCTTCCCAAAGAACTATGAATGTAGATGTGCCTCCTACTAAAACAGAGGTTCCACCTGCAACGACAAACTCCATAGATGACTTTGAAGCACCAAAGTAGCCAAAGAAATCCAGTATGTAATGACCATTTTGATCCTTTTTAATTCTACTTTTTCAATAATTTATAACTTGACATGTTCTCAGCTTTTGTTGGTGTGTCACCCGAGGAAACATTGGATACGAACCGTTTGAAAACTTCAATGAATCTAAAGAGACTCAATTCCGAAAGATTATCAGGTTTCGAACCAAGTAAGAATTTGATTGTGAACTATGATTCATTTTAATATTTAAGTTCATATAAAATGATATTTTTTATGAAATTAGGGTTCCCAAAATGGATCTGCTTCAAACCCGATGAATAAAGATTTTATACTTCATCACTGCTCAGTCACATCAAAGAAAGGTAATTTCATTTTTTTAATCAGATTTTTGTGGACATACTACCTGTTTGTGGTTTATTCTAATAAGACTAAAGTTTTTTGTAGTTGTCGATTTTCCTCTGGACCTTTGCCAATTTGATATCAGTACACTACGTGAACTGAAACTTCATCACCGACGACTACGAGATTCATTGACGTTTTTGATTACTTTGGACAATTTGGTTGATTGTTTCTAGGAATGACATGACCTTACCACACTTAATCCTCCGGTTACTACTTCTTTTTTAATTTCTTAGAGTTACATTTTAGTGAAATTGAACAAATATGGGACTATGAGTGTTGGTTCTGTCCTTAGAAAAGACTTTGAAGATTATAGGGAAATGGAATGAAAAATGGAGAGCAATGAGGTTGATAGATGCAAAAGAGAGGTGTGTGATAACATTTTCGTTTCTTATTTTTTGTTCTTAGTACCTGTTGTTATTGAATTTGTTCAACTAACTAACTCTGGGTTTTTCACATTGTTTCAATCTTGAAGAAGCTAAACTAGTAGAATGTTGGAGTAAACCAATTGGGATGCAAAGCCTAAGGAGTGTCGACCACGCATGGAACCGATCAAATATAGGAGGTGACAAAAAGAGGGATTCACTGATTGAATATATACACATGGCAAGTTTTGACTTTGTTATGTAATTCTGCTTAATGTATGCGTCAAGTTGAATATTTATAGAGTTCTTTTTCTTTGAAATATGAGCCACTGATTACAGGAAAACTAAAATCTGCTACAGATCACCAGCTACATGTTTTATATGGAGAATGGTTCATGTTTGATGAACATGCCTTTAAGAACCAATTTTATTCCATTGCTTGAAAGGTGTCAAGTTCTTCAATTTTAATGATTTCGCTCACCATAGCTTAAGACAGTATGAAACTTCTACAACATAGATTTAAATTTACATTGGTCAATGGAATTTCTCAATAATGAAATTTTTATTTTCATACGTACCATGTTCCTGTTTGTAACAAATGATAATTAAAATTTTTCTTTCATTTTTTTATACAAGTGAGAAAGCGCTTGCAGGATCTATATGACATAAAACCAATTAGAAAAATCAAGAGACTAAAGAATCTTTATATGATCACAACTATTTCTGATTTGTTTTTTTTTTTTCTAATTCAATTTCGAGAAAAATTATGATTAATCAATCTATCACTTTCAAATGGGGTTGTTTACTCATTTCAACTCGAAATTGATATTAATTTCCCCATCAACTACACCATTGAAACAAAAAAAATCCAAGACTTCTGCTAACCGTTGTTGTTGGATTTATGGAGGAGACGCAAGAGCCGCCACTTCTTGCATTGGTGGTGATGGCTAAAATTTTGACAGGGTTGAAGATGCTGATCAAGGGTTACAGTTGATTGATTTAAAGAGCATGAGGTGCTATTTTTTTTTATCTGTATCGTTCCATGTAATACGTACTTTGTAAATTTAATATATGAATGATAAGTTGAAAATAAAATTGTTACACTTCTCCAAATTAACCTTATACTTCATTTTTCAGCGAGTTTTCTTTTGCTTCAAATATGGAGATTACCAATGTAACGGAATATGAAGCACTTGAAAAGCAGAAGTTACCCATGATGATCTATGATTATTATGCATCGGGTGCAGAAGCTCAATGGAATCTTATGGAAAATCGAAATGCTTTGTCAAAAATATTGTAAGTCATTTCTTCACTTCATTTAGTTCTATCCTCATACCATTAGTCTTGAATTCTTTTATATAAAAATAGGTTTCAAACGCGTATACTTATAGATTTAAGCAAGATAATATATGACCACAACAATTTTAGGCTTCAAGATTTTAATGCCTATCATGGTTGCACCTACAACTATGAAGAAAATGGCTAACCCTGATGGTAAATACTCGAAGGTTTCTCCGTTGGTCAGTCATTGAGAATACGTGTGGGCCTTATAAAGGGATGCATGTGTTGTGTCATGGCAATTCGATATTCTCATATTAAAGTCAAGCTTGACTCCCAACACAAGATTATTACATGTAACATTTTCAAGTTGTGGTCGAATTTGGATGAGTCATACTTCTCTACAGAGAAAGTTTTTGGTGGCATTACAAATGTTTGTAGGTATCTATACCAAATATGTATTGTATTCATGTATCTATGTTTGGTTATATTATTTATAAGTATATTTTGTTACAACAGTACTTAAGGTATTTGTGAAGAGAGAAAATGAGACATGGGTGTACGTAACCATTAGATTATAAAGAGAACTTCAGGTTAGTAATTAGTATCTGTATTTTGACAGAAACTTGAATTGCAATATATAGGTGCAATCCTTTCTACATGGTCTTACTCTTGAAAGAAAAGGTAAGTAACTAGAGGAATATGCAAGAAATAGCAACATTTTCTTATGTTAAAAAAAATCTACACAACTATACATTGTACTTTTCAAGATTTATATTATCGGGATAATATACTTTGTATTTAGATGACATTCTTATAATAACTGGTTAGATTTTAAAGTAGAATGCTGTAATAGGAAGAAATGAAAGTAGGATGTCATAATAAACAAATTAATGAAAGTATGTTGGTTTTTGTTCCATTTAGCCCATTCTTTTCTTATTTTATAGAATATGATATGATCTCATATATTTTTCGAAGTATAATGTCCTAATGATGATACAATTGGTTAAAAAATTCAAATTATAATGTTCTAAGTCTTAGAAATCAATATTTTTTATTTACTTTTAAAATTTGAACTTACGTGATAATATGTTTACGTGGTTGTTAGCTTATTAAGCATTTTATAAACAACTAATTAAGCCGATGACATGATCACCTGTTTATTATTATTATTATTATTATTATTATTATTATTATTATTATTATTATTATTATTATTATTATTATTATTATTATTATTATTAACGAAGCTTAGTTCAATCTAATTGTAATTTTGGCATTTTACTAAATGATCGGTGCTGTGGAAAGCTTCCGTCTCTCCTATTATATATCCAGGAAGTTAAAGTATAAAGTATTGATTAAACACATCGAGAAGTTGTTGTTTTGGTAATATTTGTTATATCGTTGACGCAACCATGCAGGACGTGAATCGGTCATCCTTTTAGCAACTTAAGCTTCTGCTTACACCAACGATTCAAAGCTTTGGCATGAAGGAGAAGGAAACCTACCTTCAATTCTAGGTATGTTACCACTACCAATATAATCTCTCACATAAAACTTATAATTCTCAGAAGTTTTTGTGTACAGTGCTCTTGATAGATGATATAGACCAAACTACCTGTTTTTTGAAACATAATGTGACATCCCCATTTTCACGGCCAGAAAAGACCGATTTTTTTGCTTATGCTTTATAAAAATCAGAGTACTTCTTTTCATAAAAATATTACGGAATTTGTTCCCAGAAAAGTACAATAAATATGTTTTCAAAACATTTTCGAATAAACGTATTTTATTCATTTTAAAACGTTTGGGATGTCATCGTCAATACAGAAATATAAACATAAACAGAACTTACATTTATTTATACTAGTGATCTATATCTCTTTAATCTCTCAGTGTAATGTCACTTCGTATCGACACCTATGATATAAATAAACTGAGTGGGTCAAGTTGGGAAACCTGGTGAGTACATCGGGTTTTCAACCCACAATAATATAATTATTATGTGTAATAACCAAACAATCAACCCAATTACCCATCCCCATTATCTTCTTTGATTTTAAGGATCTACCCTAAGAATCAGCTATTCCTCGTTCGTTCATTCCTAAGGATTATCCTAAGGAATCAACAAGAAATCCATCATTACCACGGTTTACACAATGGGCACTAAGTCGGCATAGTCGCCAGGGTTTAGGCATCAAGTCTGCATGGTCACCAAGGTTTAGGCACCAAGTATTCATGGTCACCAAGGTTTAGGTACCAAGTCTGCATGGTCACCAAGGTTTAGAGTACACCGGGTGAACACATCGTTCACAACACCTACAAGTTGCGAGCCTGCTAGTGTTCCACATGACTGTCTAGAAAAGTCTGTGGTTGTCATCCATACTCTGCTGAATGACGGGGCCATCATTTGGGAAAAAGGCTTCTCACATTGTCTACCTCTCACCCTCACCGCGTGGTCTATAACACCTCTCGACTCATCATTCAACTCATATTCCATCTATTATATCTACCCATGTTTACCCCAACATTATCGTAGATATAAAATACATATACATTTTAAATCATTGAAAACATGTATAAAAATGTTCATCCAGCATTGATAGCAAGTATTCAGATAATATGCACACATAGCACCTAATTTATATAAAATACTTCATATCTATGTGTAAGCTGAAAATAACTATGCAGTCACCTGATAAGGTGATGACTCGGTACTCGGACCGCACTTCGTTACTGTTAAAACAATTTCCCTCAGACAAAAACCTAGTATCATTACCACTATAGTTTAGTCTAACGTTAACCGCGACTAATTAATAGTCTAGATATTATTACTATTATATAAGCGTTAAGAAACACTCTTATATAAACATAATAATATCCTAAATACTCATTATAATTTCCTAATAACATTAATATATTAAAACATAAGCTATACAAAAGATAGGGTAGGCATAGCTTTATTACAACGTGTTTTTCGCAAAACCGGGCTTCGCTAGAGCAGCGTTTCCGAGCTGAAAGGTTCTTTTCTCGGGACTCCGGGAGCGTCCGGGCTTCCTTCGGGTGCTAGGTGGTTTACCTAGACTTTAGGGGGCTTAAGGGAGGTTAGAGAGAGAAACTAGAGAGAGAAAGAAGGTTTGGGAGGTGTGAAGAAGAGGCTAGACCCGACACCTCTATTTATAGTGAAAATATCTGATGGACTCGCCGAGTAGGGGGACCTACTCGCCGAGTTGGTGCCTGTGGTGACTTTCTGGTGGTGCCACATGTCCAATTCTAGTGGTTCCACGTCACCCCTTATCGCGTATCAACCTTCAAACTTAGAAAAATCATAACTCTCGCATACAAGCTCCATTTTCGATGTTCTTTTTTTCAACATGTAGGTAAAATCAATATCTACAAATTTCATTTAGACTCTGTTGGCTAATTCTCGACTGATCTCAAATTAATCAGTAGGAGGCGTTTAGATTGTTAAATGACCGCGGAGAATTCGTAACTCCTTCATACGGACTCCGTTTTCGTCTGTCTTTTTACCGTTAAGTTCCTATTAATGAGATCTTCAACTCTCATTTAGGTCGAATAAGCCAAAAATCGCTCGAACTAAAATTCGAGTTTTGGGCCGTGCATTGCTAAGCCGAATCTTAGAAAAATCATAACTTCTTCATACGAAGTCAGATTTGGGCGTTCTTTTTATGGATTTTCTCAATTTAACATATTCTATGACTTTAATTTAGATCACTAAGGCTAAAAAGTTCTCCATCATAAATTCACTGTTTACACTTTCCGGTGCCGTGCTAGTTCCGTTGCAAAACTTTGACGGGTCATAACTTCTTCGTTATAACTCGGATTTCGACGCTCTTTATATGTACGGAAACCTTGTGACATATTATAAGACTTGGTTAAGATTATTTATTCTAAATAATATTTTGTCAAAAAGTCATTTTCAACCCCTATTACCTCTAAATTGACTAGCCCGGATCTACGGGCATTACAATTATCTCCCCCTTAGGATGATTACGTCCCGAAATTATCAACGAAATTAGGCTTGTATAATGACTCAATACGTCATCTCTTCATCCTAGGTAATAATTATAGCTTCTATATTCATTCAAGTCTATCTCTTAGACTTATTGACTATCAGCAGTACTCGATTGTGCACCTGCTTTCCATCTCAGGTTAGACTCCAAATTATGACCTTCAAGTCACAATCTCGTTCCTCACTAGATAAGAACTTAAGATAAGTTCTTTTATTAGTACAATGGAACGATGTGGCATATTCTAATAACCTATCATCGTATGATGCATTTCTTGGACTCGGGTCGTTTAGAGTCAAATTCTGGAACAAACTATACCTTCCTTCATGTTCTAATCACATCTTAAAAGGTAGTATGTCTAGCTACAAGCAACCATCACGATACCTCTACCGATCACTTCGATTATCTTTTACTTCGATCCTATGGCTTAAGTCAGATGTTACATCGAACTTGGTTCTCTGAACCACGTAACATACTCATCATATTCGGACTCAATTTGATATGACGACTAGGGTCAAAATAACAACAATCTTCTTAGTCATTACTGAAACGATGGTAACAACATGCTTGAATAAAATAGACTCAATTATTGGCTTCTTGGTAACCTTGTGACTTTCCCTGATCCAAGTGTGAGTCTTGTACCTCCGGTAGTATATGCATCTACTACCTTTCACACATACTCATACTCGTCCCAAGTGTTGTTCACAGTTTTCCAAGTCACCATATAGGAAATCACATAACAATTTAACACATCAGATAAAAAAATGAAGGCTTTATTATTTCTTGAAACTATTACGTAGGTGTTCAAGTTCACCCTAGACTATGCCTCTAATAGGCTACATCATACGACACTATGGCTACTGCTTAACTTGATCTTCAGATATGAAGTCCTTATCCTTGATTCCTCGCATGGTTTTCTGCTTTGTCGAGGATCATGTGGAATGCTCTTGTCCTTGGTGGTGTGTTTGGTCTTGCTGCCTCGTTTTTCTTTAGGCAGTCCCTAGAAATATGCCCTTCTTTGTTACATCCATAGCACACCTTCTTGTTGGATGCACACTTGCTGGTGTAATGCCCTGTCTCTCCACATTTGTAGCAAGTCACATCCTCACTACATTTCCCGGAGTGCTTCTTTTTACACTTTTCGCACCACTTGGCTTCACCTCCTCCTTCTTCAGTCTTTGAGAATTTCCTTCCTTTGTTGGACTTTGAAGACACTTCATGCGTCCTTTTCTCACCAACTTTAGCTCTCTCAAGAACCTTTTCCCTAATCTGGGTTTCAACATTCATGGCTGCCCAGATGGCTCCTTTCAAAGTGGTTGCTTGCTTGACCATTGGTCCAAAGTCTACTGTTAATCCATGGTCAAACTTGTTGACCTTGGAGAGCTCAGTTAGAACTAGGTAAGGAACAAGCTTCA